AGTAACAAAACAGCAGACCAGTTTTGGCCCACAGTGTTTTTCAGTACTGAATTTTAAAACCAGGAGAGTTTATTCAGCACTCTGGATTTGCTTCCGAGCAACAGTGAGCCACGTTCCCATGACAGCCCTTAGCTGGGGTCCCCTTTACTCATGCCAGGCGCTCAAGTTCCCATCATCTGCCTGACCTTACGGGCATCAAGGATTACAGGCACTGCCTGGATTATAGGATCATCGGCTTTAACATTTTTCAAATAAATGTGCATGGAGGATCATTTTCTATCCCTGAACACCTCCAGGGTTGCAAATGTTTCCCAGTGTTTCACATTGGCTGAGGGTCCTGGTCTCTACCTACCTGCCTCTGTCAGCATTGAGCAAATCGGAAATTAGAATTCAAGCCACTTCAGTTTATAAAACTTCAGATGGCTCTTTTGGTAAATAGACTCCTAGCTCTTGTAAGAGACAAGAAGACTCTGCCCATTCCCTCTGTACTTGAGGCATTTCAGTTCTAATAGGGTGCTTGCCACTCCAGGCATGGGCTTCCTCTTTGTTCTCCTTGCTACTCCAAGGCAACAGTGTCTCTTGGGATCTGGTAAAACGTGCAGAATTTAGGATTTCACCCAAATCCATTGAATCAGACTTTGCATTTTCAGACCCCTGGGCCAGGCATGTTGAAGTTTAAGAAGTACCACTGGAAGGAGTAGTGAGAGATACCATTTCTCCTCCTCATCCTGTGCCTCTGTCCCAGGCTAGCCTTTGGTGGCATAAACTCTCCCCCGCCAAGACCAGGACTCATGTGACACCCTCCAGCCCCACCATCATCCCCAGGCCAGATGGCCCTGATCCACCAGGCCATTTTGTGTCTCTGCTTCACCAAGATTCTTCCCCCAATCTTTTTTATCCTTCAGTGACATTTCCAAGTGGATATTATTCATTGAGGTAGAATGTAGCCAGCGTGGTTTCTGAGTAGAAGTTTCTCCCTCCCTGGGGCTTGTGTTCTGTCTCCTGCACCAGAAGACAGAAATCAAACAGTGCTACATAGGGGACTGGTTCCGTGGTAGAGCATGTGTTTGGCATGCACTAGATCTGGGATTCTGTCTTGAGCACCATGGGAAGCAGGACTATATAGTTACTTTTGTTTATGGAATTTTATGAGCCCAGATCAAATTTTCTTTCCCCAAAACAACATGAAGCCCCTCTGACCCAGCAGTGGACTCAGCTGCTCCCATCAATACCCAGCCACATGGGGGTGGGTGGGGGGAGTACTGTGTAAGACAATCAGAGGTCATGTACTACATATGCTAAGGCATTCATTCATGGAGTTCATAAATACCCATTTGTGTACCCACTGGGTCATCCACATTTGACTGGCCTTCTCTAATATACCTGATCTGCACCAGGTCCTTTCTTTCTATAGAGTCTGTACTGCAAAACTCAGAATATTATTTTTCCAGGCTTACACATCTCTGTCCTGCCAACATTGTTCTCCCATGAAGAGTAAAAGAACAGAAGCTAAGGATTAGGCACATGTTAAGAGAAAGAGCAACTTAAGACCTTTATTCTTTTGAAGTAGATTTGGTTTGATGGCATTTAGAGTAGAAAACTTTATGTAATGGTTATTATTATGTGATAGCACCAAAAGTTTCTACAGATTTTTCTTTTGTATTTGAACCTTCCAAAAAGATGTTTTTCCATTGCAGTGTTAAAAATTATTAAGGAAATTGGGAGTGGCAGAGGAAGAAAAGAGAGGAGTGGGAACAAAAAGGAAATGAAGTGTGAAGTGGTTACAAATAAATTGCTATTTCAAACATGACCCTTTCACACTGGTTTTATGTCTAGTAATTGCTTCCTAAGCTTGGTGGCTGTGGGAGGACATGGAGGGAGCCATCCCAGGGGTATCAGTCTCATGAATAAAGAAAGTAATGTGAGAGAGAGACAAGGGGGTTTGGAAGGAATGCTTCTAGTAGACAGACTGGTATTCCTCAGCCTTGTGAGTTGAGAGTAATGATTTTTATTTAATGTTGCAAGGGGGTACTGAAACCCACCTTAACAGTTAGACAGACAGGCATGCAAGAAAGCCTGGCCTGTTGATGATGGGGGCTTGTGGTCCTAGTAGGATGGAATTAGAGAAGATGATGGTAAGAAAAGAACAGTCTGGCAAGAGCTTCAGTGCCTGTGGATGTTATTTTATAGCCACAAATCAATCATTATTCAAAGAGTGTTTCTACAAGAATAGCAAAGGCAGGAACCATAGAAAAACCCATTCACCAGTATTCCAATGTGCCATTTTGAAATTGGAAATAACTCCCATATCTCAGCTGCTTAAGGCCACGTGATTTTAGAATTTGAAAGGATTGTAATAATTTCATCCAACCAAAACATGCCTCAAGAGAAGGGACATAAGCTCTGTCTCCCACCACCCACTAAACCACATTGGCATATGCTAAAAGTTGACTTGGTCCTTGGCACAAAGCTGATGGGTCCCCATCTCTGGCCCTGCTTCACTCTGCCCCTAAAGCTTTCGGCACTGTCCCCTCTAAAGGCATTTTGGAAGCTCCAAAGGTAATCAGTGGTTACAGTACTATAGGGGCAGAAAACACACTGATCCCTCTCCTGCCCATCATAAGGGTCATGGCTGACAATACCCCCATACAAAAGCCAGGTTAACAAGAGAAAAACCTAACAAACTATTTGACCACAATTTTATGTGGCACTGGAGACTTGAAATTGAAGAAGCAAGGACTCAGGGTGAACTGTTGTATTTTATGCGTAGGTTAGATGAAGTGAAGCACGGGCAGCCACACAGAAACATGATTGGACAAAAAGGGTATGATGTAATAGTAACAGGCTAGGTAGGCCCAGCAAGGCCTGTCTGTTCAGTTATTTCCTGGCCTCTCTATGTAGCATCTCCCGTCTGGAATTAGGGTCTTAAGACCTATCATCAAGCAGGTAGCTCAAATAATTTCGTTATGACTACTGTTATTCAGGCAGAGTTATAGTAAGATTTTGAGATTTTATGGTTGCTTGAGGAAAAGGGGGTTCTGGGGTTCTGGTCTCTATAACCTGCCTTGGGAAGAATTCTAATTTTTAATGACTTGACTTGGAGAAGGATGAGGAGTGAGAAACAATACAGAAGGTCAGAGAGACTGTTACTTCTGAGGCCTTCATTAGGGTATCTTCTTCTGAGTCCCAACATGACATGCTGCCAAGCAGATGCATGGCCTGTGCTGCAGACAACCCTCTCCCAAGTGTCCTGGGTGTGATCTGCAGGGTTGCCTCCCAGCCCAGGCTTTGCTGCCTGCCTCTAGTCCCCTGGGCTCAAGGGTAGGGGATTAAGATTGTGTTTTCATCCCCAGGAGGACCCCAGAGTCACCTTCCCAGTGCAGTGGACTCAGGGTGGTAGATGAGACCCAGAAACTCTATAAAGGAATTTGGGTCCCTCTGGCAGTTTTATCCAAAATATACATTTCAAGGAAACAATCTCATTTAATCTTCATGGGAGGTGGTGGTTTTTTAAAATTAAATTGAGGTATCAAAATAGAACTGCACAATTAAAGGAAATCATTATGTAGGAATTGCCTTGGGGTTTCTCAAATATTGCATAGGAAAATATTTTTATTAGAACAAATCCCTTTGCAGATTACTAAAATTGTCTCCAATAAAACATGATGGATTCTATTTACAGATGGAGAGTTTCAGAAGATTATGGAGCTCGTCTTCATGTTCTTACTGAAAGGCAATTTTAGAGCAATATCACCTTATGTATTTTTTTAAAATCTAGTTCTTTGACATGTTAGTTGAATAGACTGCTTTCTTAATATTCCTACTTATAACCAAAGATGCTGATAAGGTCGTTAACTAGTTGCTTTGGGATGCCCGGTGATTGGCAAATGGTCTATGCCTGCGGCAATAGGAAATGAGAATTGTCCCAGGGGTCAATGTTACATTGTATTGTATATGTGAAATAGAAAGCTCATAAAGTTGTGTCAGCAGTATTAAAAAGTCTCAGATTGTAGTGAGTTTTTTTTGTTCTGGTTTGATTTTCATTTTTGGTTTTGCTAATCAAGTTTTTCAGAAAGCCATGTATAAGCCCTGTGAATGCTTAAAGTATTGTATGAATTTTCTATACCTTAAACTAAATTATTTAGGAATGATTGGCATTTTAAGATTTCAAGTATTCTAGAGGATTTGGGAATACATGTGCCACAAAGAAATTTTTGACTTCTGCTCATTTAAGTGTGAGAAATTATGGAGCATTAATAATCATTCTCAAATTTTTTAATACCAGAAATTAAGCTTGGGTTTGACAAGATGAACTTCTACACATTTTTGAGTTCAGGAAAATGTTTGTCAAATGTATTGATTGCCCAAGTAAGGTAACTGACACAGGTGGCCTTTTTCTTCAACTTTTTTTTTTTTAATTTCCTGCCAATTCCATTTCTCGCCCATCTTTTCAGTTTCTGACGAGTTAAAGAAGTGATTGTCTCAAGTGTTACAGATCAGTCACAAGTTTTGCTTCATTGCAAAAGAGATATATTATAAAGGACCCATATTGCAACCTAAAGCAGATAAGGAATTCTTAGGAAGCCAAAAGCATTTAATGAGCCGGGGAACAGAACCCGGCTTAGCTGAACCCTCCTCCCCTTCTCCATTCACTAGTATTTCCTGGGTTTTGCGCTAAGTAATGCCAACCAGGCGTGTTCAGGGGGCGGTCCTCACCAATGGGGAGGCAGCTCCAAGAGTTCGCGTGGGAAACCTCAGCCCTTTTTCTTTCTTGTAAACCCCCCGCATCTGGCCGCCCGTGCGCGTCGGCGCAGACTCGAATGCTGTCCATTTCATCCTCCGGGTGCGGTTAACCGGGAATTGCCTCCGTGGAGCCGGCTGATGGGGGGACCCTCGGGCTGGCGGGCCGGCGGGGGCGGAGGCGCTGCGGGGTTCTCTGTTGCTAGAGCCGTGATGTCACCCGCCCCTCCTAACCCGCGGTTGGTTGTTTTGTGTTTCAGCTCTGCCTGCAGTTGAGCACAAAGACCTGGAGGAGACTCCCACCGCCTTCAGGGAGAAGAAAGGAGGCAGCGACTCCGATTCAAAGGAACTTGTGGCTTGTGGCCTTTTTGTTGTGGTGGTGGTGCAGGGGCCTCCTGGAAGGGGAGAGAAAGTGCATTAAAGCCACATTGGCGGTTAATGAGCTGTGAGATGAGGCGCTGCTGTCGCTGCTGCTGCTGCTGCTGACACTGATTCCAGGATCCCTCCTCTGCTGCCCTTTGTGCTTCATGTACATGTGTCTATTCAGGCCGGCCGGAGGCGCCCAGAAGAGAATCCACCACGGCTGCCGGGGAAAGACCGCCCACCATGCCCACGGAGACGCTACAGACAGGTAGCATGGTGAAGCCGGTCAGTCCCGCCGGCACCTTCACGTCGGCGGTGCCCCTGCGCATCCTGAACAAAGGGCCAGACTACTTCCGCAGGCAGGCCGAACCCAACCCCAAGAGGCTGAGCGCCGTGGAGAGGTTGGAAGCCGACAAGGCCAAGTACGTCAAGAGCCAGGAGGTGATCAATGCCAAGCAGGAGCCCGTGAAGCCGGCCGTGCTGGCCAAGCCCCCCGTGTGCCCGGCAGCCAAGCGCGCGCTGGGCAGCCCCACGCTCAAGGTGTTCGGCAACCACGCCAAAACCGAGAGCGGGGTGCAGCGCGAGAACCTCAAGCTGGAGATCCTGAAGAACATCATCAACAGCTCCGAGGGCTCCAGCTCGGGCTCGGGACACAAGCACAGCTCCCGAAACTGGACGCCACACCGGTCCGATGCCACCACCGACCTGCACCGGCACTCGTTCGCCGAGTCCCTGAAGGTCTACCCCACGCCAGGCCGCGGCAGCCCCCAGGAGAGCGGTTCGCACGTGAGCAGGAGACTGCTGGAACAGTCGGCCGAGTCCTTCCTCCATGTCTCGCACAGCTCCTCGGACATCCGCAAGGTGACCAGCGTGAAGCCCCTCAAAGCCATCCCCTGCAGCAGCTCTGCCCCTCCTCTGCCTCCCAAGCCCAAGGTCGCCGCCATGAAGTCACCCGAAGCCGATCCCGTGGAACCAGCTTGTGGCGTCAGCCGAAGACCCTCCCTCCAGCGGTCTAAGTCAGACTTGAGTGACAGGTATTTCCGAGTGGACGCAGACGTGGAGAGGTTCTTCAACTACTGTGGACTGGACCCCGAAGAGCTGGAAAACCTCGGCATGGAAAACTTTGCCAGGGCTAATTCTGACATCATCTCCCTCAACTTCCGCAGCGCCAGCATGATCAGCTCAGACTGTGAACAGTCTCAGGACAGTAACAGTGACCTTAGAAATGATGACAGTGCCAATGACCGGGTGCCCTATGGCATTTCTGCCATCGAAAGAAACGCTAGGATCATCAAGTGGTTATATAGCATCAAACAAGCTAGAGAGTCGCAGAAGGTGTCCCACGTGTAAGAGACACTGTGCGTGGAAAGGAGGGAGGGGCGGGTCTGTCTGTGCATACGCAGTTGTGAAGGTCGTGAGGTCTCCTTGAAGTGTTGTGAGCTTCTCCACTCTTTGTGTTGCTTGTTGTGCAATGTTTTCAAGTTGCATGCCTGTCAACATGGCGACTGGCCTGGCTTCCTCCTCACCATCGCTGCAGAGCCTGCCTGGACACCCATCTGCCAAAAGTTTCAGGCCAGAATCTACTTAGGGCTTTGCTCTCTAGCAAAACTGTTTACACACACACATACGCGCACACACACACACACACACACACAMAAAAAAAATGGTATACGATTTCTTCAATATTTATGTGGTTCTTGTGTTTTTATATCCCGCGCTATTGTGTCTTAATTAAAAGTTTTATCAACTGGCTTTTAAGTTGAGAGCAGAATGTTTTTGAAATAAAAAGCCACTTTGCCTACATGTGAGACCATAACAGTGAGCAAATCAATGAGTTTTGCTACCAAACAGATAGTGACTGACTGAAAATAGAACCAGGCTGGGTTTTCTGTGGAATACAGTGGTTAGCCTGATGTTAGTCGTTTACATGTTGAAACTTCCGCTTGCCACTTAGTGGAGCGGTCAGTAGGTCATCAGTACTACTTTGTGATTCCGAGTCAGTGTGTCCATGTTAATGGTTCTGTGTAATACTGACCCCAAGGAAGACAATCAGATATGACCAAGGATGGTTAAATCTAGGAGTTTGGAGATTTGGGGATTTTGTTGATGTTGTTTAGATTGGAATACTTCAGAAATGTCTAGTATTGATCTTTCAACAGATATGACCACCCTAAAGCTGAATGCCTTTATTAAAAAATTGTTTTATGTTCTGGGTTTTTGTTGTTATTTTGGTTAAGAACTACTAATTCCATGCTGTTTCTCTTCCTCCCTTTGTTGCTGTTTTACTTGGGGGAGAGGAGAGGAACTTGTGTAGGTTGAGCTATCTGAAGACATGAACAAAAAAACGGAAATACCAGCCATATCAGTATAGAGCCTCCCATTCAAAAGTGAATACATTTGATGACTGAACCATATCTGAGCAATGTGATTCTGTTGTCTTGCAATATGTTATTCTCCCAGGCTGTGGATCTTTGTTACAGTTCTAGGAAACTGTCGAAACCCAATCCTCTGTAACTTTTCCACCCTATGGTCTCTAGTGCTGCCTCACCTGGTCCCCTTTTCCCCTAATAACCTGTCCTCCAGGTGGTATAGTTAGCTGTCAACCAGCTAACGGTTTGGTGTGGTAGCAGAGAGGTAACCTTGCGGTGGTCTGTCATTGCTCTGGTCATGCTCAGAAGTTCTCAGCTGCAGCACCCTAGACTTCATCAGCTACTGGGAAACTTTCTGGTGTAAATGCTGTAAGACTTTGTACATACTTCACTTGTTATGAAATCTTTAAGAAAAAGGAAAAAAAAGTTCCACTAATAAATAGCTCTCTGGTGCAGGCACTAATGGTGGTCGGTTGTTTCTTTGTTCTTTCTTTTTCTCCCTCTATGAATGACTGGGCCAGGAGGGCATTGTGGATAGATAGTCTTAAAGAAACATTCCATTAAATTGTTTTCACCATATCTCAACTATTCTGAACAGCAGCACCCTTCATTGTAGCTGTAGCAGCATGTTTTTGCAAAACAAAACAAAAAAAAAAAAGAAAGTTACATCAAGATCCCTGAATTATGCTGCTGCCTCTTTCCTTAATTCACACTTCTTTTATTTTTATCTTTTCTTTAAACATCAGGATTTTCACATCTTCCACAAGACTCTTCAGTTGTAAATATTCATGAGTTCTTACTGTGGAGGCATACCTTTAAAATGGCTAGCCCTGTTTTTGTTGGTACCAGCCCAACATCCACTATGCAGGTTCATGCATTTCTCCACTCATTCCCCTTTTAATATGTCACTTCTTGAGTGACTCCCTTTTCGGGCATCATGGTTGCCACTAGACTTCCATGACCAATAACACAGTCTCTCCCTTGAGGAATTTCAGTCCTCACATTTAGCACTCCTTTTAGTGGGTGTGCATGCTCATCTCTTATTATTTGAATTTCAAATTTTCAATGAGTATTTATTGGATCAAAGAATTTGAAGATAAACATTTCTTCCAAGGTTCCACACAACTTGCAAATATAAAAGAAAGCAAAATTTAAAATGTAATTTTCAGAAACAAATGGTAAGTATTTCCAATTAGTGTTGATTTAAAAAAAGCACTTTTGGTTTCTTGACTCATTGTACCGGTTTTGAATTCTCTCCGATTGTCTTTCCAGAAGAAACATTAAAATGTTTCTAAAGAATCCAGCTATGAATGTTGGTGATACAGTGCACTCAAGGTTATAGAATTTTTAAGTTTTCTTAAAAGAAAATTCTAACAATAAAAGTTTCCTTCCCTCACCATTTATCTAGAAATGTGGCCTTTTAAAAAACACTTGGCTTAGCATTTGCATATCTATCTCCTTTTAGAGCTACTGAAATACTAAAAATAGATGTTATTTTCCTAAGAAAACCATTTTGGGGGAGATGAGCACTTCTTACCTAATTTAATATCACTGCTTATGCTATTTTAATCCAGGATTGTATTTGAATCTTACTGTCTTTCAATAACAATGTGTGATCTGTATTCAGACAGGTCTATAAATCTTCCCACTATAATTCAGTCTAATCCTCTGTGGCCTTATTTGTACAATAGACAACTGTTAGGCTTTTAGTTCCTAAGAAAGATGAGAGCTCATTATTTTCTTTTTGTTCTTAAAGTTTCTATAAAGGACGGTTTCAAATGCTTAATATTAAATTCTAAGAATGAGACCTTTCCTAATTGTGAAGTGCTTATTCTTCTAGCTCATGAAAGTATTATAGTTCATGCACACATGTGCATAAGACTGTAGTATTGGTATAAATATAATTTCATCATATAGTCCACATTTTTTCCTATACAATGCAGCATTAAATGTGATTCCACTAAATGGCTCTGGATACTAGCTGCTGCTTTCTGAATTCTACGAAATCCTAACACCGTCTTTCCATATCTATCCCCTCTGCCATTGCCTTAATTCAGGCTTTCACCATCTCTTATTTGGACTGCTGTTGCTAGAACTTTCTAAGTGGAAGTCCCCCTTACTACCCTCCCAACCAGTCTCTTCCTCATCCCATCTCATGCCACAGATAACAAAATGAATTCTGGTCACAAAAAAAAAAAAAAAAAAAAAAAACCTCTGCTTGAATAAGTTGCTGATACGATAAATCCTTAACTTCTCAACAGAACAGAGAATGAATCACCCAGCCAAGCCCCAAGGCTCTGACCAAAGGGAAGTGTCCCAATAAGAACATATTACCATTGCATTTATGATCTATGATATCTTTAAAAAAAATCATCCCAAAAGCCAGAAACTTAAAACCATAATCATTGGTGATCCCAGTATGCAAAGATCAGGAACCCTGGCGTGGCTTAGCCAAGTGTCTCATGAGGCAGAGACCAGAGGCAGCGAGGCCTGCATCATGTTTTGTGGGCTGAAGGACACTCCCTCAAAGGTGGTTCACATGATGTTAACAAGACTCCTCCATTCCTCACAACATGTACCTCTCCCTAGGTGTTGCCTGGTAGTCCCTTTTAACATCTGGTTCTCCCAGAGAGAAGAGCCAAGGAGAAAGCCACAGTGCCTTATACAATCCAGCGTCTTGAGTCACATACCTCTGTCACATTCAGCTCATTAGAGTGGTTCACCAAATACAGCCCACACAGGGAAGGGAGCGAAGCCCCATATTTTAGAGAGGAGTATCAAAGAACTGGTGAACGTATTTTGAAACCTCTACTGCTGTTGAGGTTTAGTAGCTTATCATTCCGTGAGAAAATCTTTCTCCTCCTTCCTAGACCTCAAAGACACTTGCTCTTTCAAGACCACACAGCAATCATTCAGTCAAAATTTTTGGAGCTTCTATGTTGTCTTATCCTGTTAGCTTGTAATTTTTGTCACGGTCATGCCAACCTAAATGATGCCTTTGTATGAAATTTTAAAATGCATATCTTCCTCATAATATTTTATTCCCTGCAAGGGAAAAAAAATCCTGTTGTAATAAATATAAATCCCCTGAGTGATGTGAACCGCAGTCCTGGAATTGGACAACATGCAACAAGCAGCCCAGAGTATACAACAAATGCTTAAATGTTTAATAAATAAGTGTTTACTGATTTTAATTTTTTTTTTTTTTTGGTTTGGTGGTTGTTTACCTTGGGTTCAGTATCCCTTATCCAAAAATGCTTAGGACCAGAAATATTTCAAATTTGGGTGTTTTTTTTTTCTTTCAGATTTTGGAACATTTGCAAAGACTTTACTGGTTGAACATCCCTAATCAAAAACTATGACATCTGTAATATTCCATAGTCTGAAACTTTTGGAGCTTCATGTTGGTTTCAGATTTGGTAGCATTTCAGATTTTTTAATTAGAATGCTCAGCCTGAATGACATTTATGCCCTGAACTAAACTATAAATCTTACCACAAAGATCCCTAAGTAGTAGGGCTGTCCCCATTTTAGAAGTAAAGACACTAAGAAATTCAGTTCCATGGAGATTAAGCCCCTTAACCAGGATCTCAGAGGAARTAAGTGTTGAAAGGAGACTTGAACTCATCTCTGCGATTCCAGCTCTGCCCTTCCCACAACCCTGTTCAAGATCAGGGGAGACAGAGTTTGTTCTTAAAAACACAAGGGTCCATAAATTCATCTTGATAATTTTATCTGCCACCAGGGTATGTAAGCATGTCTCAAACAGTCAAAATTTCAGCAACTTCATCCTTACTTAGATGGTAGCCCATAAATTTAGAAAAAGACTTCAACTGCTCCATTATGAGTAACATACAACCCACTGAGTTCAACGGAACAAGGCTGTTGGAATGGCATTCTTCCAGTTTTGAGTGTGCCATATTTTAAAGTGGCATCCTGTCTTTTTGGATCAAGGACATTTCGAAGTGTAAGCCATAGAGATAAATGTCTGGCCACAATTCAACCATCAGGAAACACATTTTTGACTATTTGATGAATCAGTATCACTCTGTTCTCTCTCATCCTTGAGGGTGTACTTAGTGTTCTGACCAGCAGATACATCAGGGAAGGATTAAAGAGGTTAAGGGTGCTCCAGTTAAAACAGAGTAGATTGTTACTCAGAAAAGAAGACCGATCTCGCCGCCATTTTGAAAATGTCACACCTGACTCATGGACTGAGTGGCCCATAAAATTACAGGGAGGTCTGCCTATTTCTTCAGTGGTCTGAAGACACTGCAC